GGGAGTGGGAGAGGGAGAAGCAGGCTTCCCGCCGAGCAGGGAGCCCGATGTGGGGCTCGATCCCAGGACCCTGGGATCACGACCTGAGCCGAAGGCAGCCGCCCAACTGACTGAGCCACCCAGGCGCCCCGTAAAAACAGATTTTAAGACAAAATGCATTATTAGAAAAAATGAAGACCATTTCATAATGACAGTAAAAACAATTCACCAGAAAGATATTACAATTCTGAGCTTAAATATACCCCATAACACAGCCTCAGAATTAACGGAATGAAAAGGAGAAACTGATGAATCTATAATCATACAAGGACATCCAAAATATCTTTCTTCATAACTGATAAATTGAGCAAATAAAAAAAATAAATAGAAAATTTTTGATCAACAAAATTAGCCAAATCAATCTAATGGTCATATATACAATCCTGTACCCAGCAATAAAATATGCATTCTTCTCAAGCACACATGAACCTTTATACAAGATAACCATGTTCTAACCCACAAAGCAAATCTCAGTAAATATCAAAGAATCTCTATCATATAGGACACATTCTCTGATCGAAGTGGGATTAAGCTAACTCTCCAAAAAGCGTATGTTTGAAAAATTTTAAACACTTCCAAATAACTCATGGACTACAGAAACACATAATGAAAACTTAAATTATTTAGAAAAAGGCAATAAAAATATTGTATATCTAAAATTTCTAGGAGGCACTTGAAGTTGTATTTAGATAGAAGTTTATAGCTGTACATGCTTATAAGAAAAGAACAAAAGTTGAAAATTAATGAACTATCCAGTTCAAAGGATAGAAAAAGAAGGACATGGAAAAAAATAAAAAATAAGGGGCAGGAATCAATAAAACTAAGAAAAGAGAGATCACCAAAATTAAAAGCTCGTTTTAACAAGGCTTATGAAACCAACAAACTTCAAAAGGAAAGTAGACAAATCAATATTAAGAAAGAAAAGGAGGAGACAGTTATCAAAACATTAGAGATTTTAATAATCTTAAGAGACTATTATGGACAACTTTATGCCAACAACTTTGAAAACTTAGAAATAATGAAAAATTTCCTAAAAACATATAATTTACTAAAACTAACTCAAGAAAAAAGAGAAAATCTAAGCAGCATCATAACCATTAAAGAAATTGAATCTATGATTTAAAGTCTGTCCACATAAAATACCAGGTCCAGATGATTTCACAGGCACGTTCTACCAATCATGTAAAGAACCAATTAATCCTGATCTTATCAGACCATCCCACTGAGAGACAGACTGAGACAGAGATGAATTCCCCAACTCATATTATGAGACTGATACAGTCTTGATACCAAAACCGGACAAGGATAATGCTAGAAAGTTATGCCCAGCAATATCAGAGGCTAACATTAAGGCTAATCTCACATAAAAGTATAGACTCAAAAACCCTAAATTAATATTAGCAAACCAAATCCAACGACATACGTATAGATTACGTATCAAGCAATGTACGTACAAATTATGTATCAAAAGCAAGTAGGGCTCATATCAAAAATGCAAAAGTGGTTTAACATCCGAAAAAGCTTTGATGTTGAGTCACCCCATTAACAGATTAAAAAATTTTTAAAAACAGATGATCAACTTAATAAATGCAGTAAGAGCATTTGATAAAAACTTAATACTCATTCAAATGAAAGATTCTTAACAAAACAGGGACAGAAGATATTTGTTTATAAGAGAGACTACTGAAAAAATAAGCAAACGTAATTCTTGATGTTAATATATGAGAAGTGTTCCTGATAGTCTGAAATAATAATAAGGATGCCTACTATCATCAGTCATGTTTATTCAATTATATTCAAGTTCTTAGTCAATGTAGTTGCGGGGGAGGGAGAAAGGGAAGGAGAAAAAGAAAAGGTATATGGACTAGAAAGGGAAAAACAAACCTATCATTATTTACAAATATTATAACTGCCTATACGAACAATAGATCTAATAAAAGATTTCAAGGTTGCAAAACCCAAGATCGGCATATAATAACCAAAAGTGTTCCTATTCACCAGCAACCAAACAGAACACATAATCTTTAAAAAGAAATGAATTTAAAACAACAAATCTTCCATAAAATAACGTAACAGATATACTCATGACCTTAAGGTGGGGAAATTTTTCTCAAATAGAAAAGAAAAAAAAAAACTATCCATAAAGGAAAAGACTGATAAATTGGACTATATTAAAATTAAAAACCTCTCTCTCTGTCAAATAAATAAATAAATAAAATCTTTAAAAAAACAAAAACAAAAACTTCTGTTCATCAAAAAACACCATTAAAGGAATGAAAAGGCAAGCATATCAGCAATACGTATGCATGACAGAAGTCTTATCTGTAGAATATGTTAAAACTCCTACAAATCAATTTTTTTAATGGGCAAAAGACTGGAAAGAGGATAAACAAAGAACCAATAAACAAATGTGAAGGGGCTCACCATCATTATCAAGAAATTACAAATTAAAACCCCAATGAGATATAACTACACACCCATGAGAATGGCTAGAAATAAAAAGACTGACTATATACCAAGTGTTCATGAGTATGTGGAGCAAAGAGAAAGCTAAAACATTTTTGGTAGGAGTGTACATGGCACGACCATTTTGGAGAACTGTATGTAGAGAAACTGAATATACGCATCCTCGAAGACACAGAGATTCCCCCCTCTTGGTATATGTATACCAACAGAAAGGTATTCATATGGGCACAAAAATCCACGCACAGGCATGTTCATAGTAGCATTCTTTATTTTAGTTCAAAACTGGAAGCAACCCAAATGCCCATCAACTACAGAAAGCATACACAAGTTGTGGTATAAGGCTTCACTAGGATACCGTAAAGAAAGAAAAATGCACAAACAAGTCCTACATGCAACAACATGGACATACCTCACCAAGAGATTGTTACCAAAGGAAGCCAGACACAAAAGAAGCCATACTGAGTTCAAAAAGGGCAAATCTAATCTACAGTGCTAAAGTCAATAAAATGGGTTATCTTTTGAAGGGTGACAACTGAAAGGGACATGTGGAAAGCTTCCAGAGTACGAGTGATGTTCTATATCTTGATATGGGTGATGGTTACAAGGCTGTGTTCACTTGATGAGAATTCTCTGAACTGTAACCACTTGTAAGTTAAGTATGTACTTTCCTGCATATATGTTATAGCCCAAAAAATTACTTTAAAAATATACGTATGTGATCAAAATGATGATATCCCAGAAACAAACCTGATTAAAGAAATGTGTAAAATCTTTACGGAGAAAAACTCACAGTATGATTATAAATTTCATATACATGAGCAAACGGCCAGAAAGAAGAAAATGAAAAAGTGTGTGTATATGATGAGGAGAGATTTATACCACCAGATTCAAGATATTACGACAGTGACTGGAATTTAGAAAGGAATTTAGTGTAGGGAGAGATAAGTAATTCAACAAAATTAAGAGCTCAGAAATAAAATACATAAAAAGACACTTGACATGCTACAGAGGAGTAAAGAATGAGCTAATCAATACATGATATTGACAGAACTTATTACCCATTATGAAAAAGAAACTTTAGAAAACTAGATTCCCAACCTCACAACATATTCAGGAATAAATTCCATATGAATTAAAAACCCATGAAAAGTAAAAATCTTTAAAATACAGAAGAAAATATAGAAGAATAGCTTTAAGACCTTGGATAGGTAAGGATTTGTTACATAAGACATAAAAAGTACAAACAATAAAGAAAAGGACTAAAAAATATGACCATATTAAAACTTATGCTCAACAAAAGGTATCGGTAAGTAAAAAACAAAGCAGACAGCTATAACACATAAAATCAACAGAGGACTCTCATTCCCAACACAGAAAGAATCCAATAAACCTAAGAGAAAATGTCAAGCCACCAACTTTTTAAAGAGGCAATCAAAAAAGATAAAAGCTAAATAGCCAATTAAATTTGAAAAGATGCTGCTTACTCGCTGTAGCTAATGTGTGTGATGCTGTGTGCACCAAGAGCCCCTCGTTTCCAGTTCTGCCACTAACTAGATGTGACCATGGACAAACATCTTACAAAGGCACCTCGGCTTCCTCATTTGTAAATGGTGAGATCTGTGCTTCACCAGATAATTACAAAAATTTCTTCACTGGATAATTCTAATTCTTTCACTGGATAAGGATCAATTTACTAAATATGTGAATTTAAAAAAATTAGTGCGACATACAGATTAAAAATTGTTGCCATTATCACTAATAACAGAATGTAAGTCTTCTAACTAAGTATTAATGCTCTTTCAGCAACTTGTTCATTTTCCTATTAATAGAAAAGGGAAGGTCCATAAGAAACGATAAAAGGAAAAGCCAGTGGAAAAAATACTCAGCAGCATCTTTCCAGCACCATCTTTGGGAATGGACGCCCTGACCCACCACTGCAAAAAGCAGGTGTGCTTGACAATTTTCTGTCACTCCTTCATTCAGTCAACATTTTTTGATACATACTACATGTCAGGCCCTCTTAGGTACTAAACAAGATACAGACCCTATCCTCATAAAGTCCGGCATAGAAGACATATAACAAACAATAATTAATCTTACAATTAATTGATGAATTAATGAGTGCTGTGCTAAGGACGTCAAATGTAAAATAACCGTGCGTATGAGTGCACGTAACAAGGGACCTGACCCAGTAGTCTAAGAGGTCAGAGAGGGCTTCCATGAGGAAACGCCATTTAAGCTGAGACCTGTGGTATATCAAAGTCTCATTCTTGGATGACACAAACCATTAAGATCATCCATCTAAATCCACGGCTCTAATACCTCCTCACCCAACAAACTTCTGGTTTTAATTTTACTTCCAACATAGGTCTTGCTATAAGGAGAAAACATGTTGATCTCTGCCACAAATGGTCTTATTTGCTTGGCACTTACATCTCTAATTCTAAAACTAAAAGAAGGAACTCAGACATTTTCTAAGCAATGGTAACATGGGAGGCAGCATGGTAATGAGCAAACAGACCCTCAGTTCTATCACTGTCTCTGTCACTGTGGTATCTTTTAAGCTGATCAACTGAACTGTCTGAGACACCATGTCCTCATTCTTCCACAAGGGGAGAAATTCAGTACCTCTCTGAAATCCCTTCCAGCTATGACAGTTCAAGGGCTAAATGTAAGAAAGCGGTGAGGAGGTCATATATCTCTACCTTTGGCTTTCTTGGTAGCAAAATGACGGATTGGTACAGCTGGAGAGGCCATGGATTGCCCACGGTCATTTTGTCTTCCACTCACTGTCTTCAGCATCCCTTCCGAAACAGGTCTGGTCCAGGCTGCAAGGGAGTTACAAAAGACAGGGTGGACCAAGCGGAAGCACCTTAAACCTGAGGCCATGACTGAAGACAATCCTTGTGAACATTCACTAAAAAGAATAAGACAAAAAGGAGATCTAAGTAAAACGGACTGTATTACAACTTCAGAAAATAATTTGTATTAATTATCAAGCAACCCCTGCAAACTGAGCTATGTGCTAGGCAATTTAAATATATTGTCTCCTCCCAACAGCCATCCAAGGAAATATGATTAGCCCCATATTACAGGATGAAGAGATTGAGGCTCACAGAGATTTAAGTAACTTGCCCATAGTCTCTGTAAGACTCCAAATCGCCAGGCTCTTTCTACTGTACCAAATGCTTCTTAGAGTACACAGGGAACACAGAGTAAGTAAATGTGCAGCAGCCTAAATCTTTAATGATGCTAATTAAATCCTTACATGAGAAAAGGCAAAAAATCTTGATAAAGTTATACTATAAAGAGGGAGGGCAGAGCACTGAAAGAGGACTTTAAACTAAATTAAAAAAAAATCATTTCAACAGGCATAAAATGACTGGAAAATTCACACAACAGCATTTAATTAAAATTTTCTTTGGTTCCTTATGCACTGATTACCAATTAGAATGCACTTTACTTTAATGTGAGTCTGAAGCACGGTTGAGGTTTGAGGTCTTCCATGTTACAGAACTGAAGCTCTGGAAAACGCCACCCTCCTCAGTGTTAACACAAGTTACACATTATACATCTAAAGTTCTGACCATGAAAAAATGCTAGCATCTAGCTAATGTACAGCTAGCATCTGCCAGGAATCTGGCTACCACTTAGTTAAAACCAAGAACAATTCTCATCAAATACCTGGAAGCTACTACTATCTTTGAAAATCTGTCCTACACCTCATTAAAAAAAAAAAAAAGAAAAGAAAATCCTATCCTAAAATGTTGATGCAGTAGAACTAAATCAGAGCATGTGCTCTGTAGCCAGATGGAATCCAATCCTGGCTCCACCACTGACTAAATGCCTCTAACCTGACTCTGCACCTCGATTTCCTCAACTGTAAAATGGGGATAATTATAATTATTTCTTAGGGTGGGGAAGAATAAATGAGTTTATGCAGGTAAAATAATGGGCATAGTGCCCAGCGGATAGCAGAAGCCCCCGAAAGGGTATCTGTTGATAACTATCGCCTTTCCTTTCAAAAAGACTTTCACACAAGGGTCAGACACAATAAAGAAATCTTGCGTGTCATTATACAAGATAGCCTAGTCAGTCAAATCTGGATGTACTTTTAATTTTTTATTTAAATCCCAGTTAGTCACCACACAGCGTTATATTAGTTTCGTGATTCCACACTTCCGTCCATCACCCGGTGCTCGTCACAACTAGTGCCCTCCTTCATCCCCATCACCTACGTAACACCCAGCTGCTTTTATTTTATTTATTTTTGGATATACATTTCAACTTTGGACAGTTCACTCCACCTATCTGGGCATCACTTACCTCATCTGCAAAATGAGAAAAATAATATCCTGATCTTAAAATGAAATAGTAAGTGTATGGAAAACACCTAGCACAGTGCCAGGAATACAGTATCTGCTTATTAAATGCTAGCTATCATTACCATTATTTCTTAAAAGAAAAGCAAATGAGCAGAGCAAAGGCAAATTATTTCTGATATAATTTTTTTCTCTCCTGATGGGATTTTTAATAGCAAGGGATGCTAGATGTCATGGATTAGTATATGAAGTCAGTAAAAGCAAATCTGGATTAAAAAATGAAGAAGTATCTTTTCTTCTTCTTTAATTATTATCAATAGCTGCTATTAACTGAAGTCAGGCCCAGGCTGATTGCTTAGCTGTACATATTTCACTTAATCCTCCCAATAATGCCACAAAGAAAGTATAGTAATCTCCATTTTACAGATGTAGAAACTGAGGTTCAAAGAGACTGTCACTGTCCAAGGGCATGGAACTAATAGCTCTGCCCTATTTCGGCAAAACTGTTCACAAAATTTGGCTCTGAGTGAGGTTTCTATATCTAGATTTTTCTAATATAGCCAATGCCTAACCCACACTTATATCCAAATATGGCTGTATAATAATGTGTTTTTTTAATTTATTTTTTTTTATCTACGGGGTCTCAATTTGGCTGCTCCATTTAAGACAGGTTTCCTGGTGTTCCTGTTGCAGGTCATAATACCAATCCACAAAGCAACAGGAAATCAAAATGGGTTAGAAATAAACAACCTTTGACAGAAAATGCAGTACCCAAAAGGAGACCCAGTACATGTGAACCGGAAGACAACTCTATAAATAAACCACATTGCTGAAATGTTTTAGGCACAGATTTTAATTGCACAGAAGTCAGGAAATTTCAAAGTGGAAGTTCAATAAAGGCAGTCCCTTGGGCCCTTTACCTTAAGGACATGCATATTAACAGTTCAGCACAGAAGCATTAAAGTCGAGGAAAGGAACTGTCACAGGAGCCCAATCCAACAAAATTAACCTATACTGAGAGAAAAATGTGTCAGGAAGTACCTGGGCTTTGGACACAGTGTTGAACTGGAATCCCACACTTACTAACTTGGGTAGATCATTTCACCTCTCTGAGCTGGTTTGCACCCCATTTTTACCATGGTGATATTAATGAGGCTTTAAAAAGATAATTATAACAATAAAAAATGAAACAATTGCCAACACTTACAGAGTTACAACTATGTGCCAGAAACAATTCTAAGTGCTACATTGCATACATTAACTTATTTGAACCTCATGATATCACTATGAAATAAGTACTGTCAGTATACCCATTCTATGGATGAAGAAATAAAGGCACAGATAAATAATTTGCCCAAGGTTAGAATTCAGGCAATCTAGCTCCAGTCTGTGCTCTTAACCACTATACTATACTATTATGTACCTGAAACCACTCAGAGCAATTACTGACATTATTGTTGAAACCGTTGAAGTAATTTTTAAAACTGTTTGAAGCACATACTGTTTTTCCAAAGTTAAGGTTCTCAAAACTTGACCCTCTCTGTTTTCCATAGGTGTATTTTAATTTTTAAAAAGAACTAGATGAGGGACACAAAGCCCATTGTCCACTCTCCCAGCAACCTCTCCCAATTCAGCTGTATATTAGCTTATAATATGTACATTTTTAATACTTTCACATGTATTATCTGATAACCAGATATGTGATTACCACCCACATTTTACAAATAAGCACACTCATTTTTCATTTCCTGGAATATTCCTTCTGCTCCTAGGTCTTCAAAATACTGCTGAAGCTGAATCTGCTTGGAATGATTTTACCCCACCTCTTTAATGAACTACCTCCCATTTTTCTTTCAGATTTCAACTTAAGCATCGCTTTCTCAGAGGATGCCTTCTCTGGCTGTCTCCTCCAACCCAACTAGATCAAATGTCCTGTAGCCCATTTTTGTTAACACCCTACACTTCTTCATAGTGCTTAAACAATATTAGCTAATATTTGTGTAGTTATTTGATCATTGCCTAATTCCCTCCACAAGACTATAACCATCGCAAGGACTGATCTATGGTTGTCTTATTCATTGCCATACCTCCAGTACCTAGCAGTCCCTAAACACAGAAGACACTGAATACAAGTGATGAATACATGAATGAAAGTCTAGAAAGAGCAGGTCCTTGACCAAGGTCACAATTATGGTTCAAGATTTGGAATCTAAGCCTCAGATTGAAGGTCCTGGGATCTACTTACCAACAGTGCTTCAATGATCTCTTGGTTTGCCAGATTTTCCACATAGAGATAGTAGGGTATGCTCTCTAAATTCAGTGCCATGTAAAGGTGTTTATAGCAACTGACTACATAGAATCTGACTATTCATAGTATCATGACTATAATATAGAATCATGTCCCTGACATAGCCAAAGGAGGATAAGACACTTTAACAGGTGGAGAAAGAGCTTTTGCCTAAGAGCTAGAAGGTATGAATCCCAATATTCCTACTTCATCACTCCCTGCCAACCATCCTCTATAGATTCATAACTACCTGTACTCAAAAAGCATTTGTGCCAGCTCTAGGACTGACATATGACTTGTATCAAATCATTTCTCCTACCTAGGCTGTGTTTCCTCAACTGTAAAATGAAAGGTCAGACCAGATTCTGGGTAGTGCAATGGAGTGTAGTGAAAGGAAAACGGCACCAAACTTAGAGAAGACCTGGGAAAGAGCCCTGGTTCTAGCACTTCCTAGATAAGTGACCTCAGCTAGGTCGAACTCTCTGGACCTCAATCTCCTCTGTAAAATGTAGATGACAATACTATTTGTCAGGGTTACCAGGACGATCCAATGAGATAAGGGCTGCAGAAACACTCTGTAACTAGATAACAGTACTGAAATGACAACTGTTCGCCAAGGGAAGACACAGAGTAACAGCTAAAAGTTGAGGTTTTGTAATTTAAGCTCCGTCACTTACTGGCCGCACGACCCTGGTAGTTATTTCTCTGAGCTTCCACTTCTTCATCATGGGGGGGGGGAGCATAATAATACCTACTTCCATGGGAAAACTAAATGTTCCTGCCAAATAGTGGGCTACTAAGTAGTGGCTACTATTGAGTAAGCTCCCTTCCCCTCCGCCATCCTCGAAGTTCCTAGCTGAGGAGACAAGCCCCGCCCCCACCCCATGAAACTCTCTGGGAAGCGACAGGTCCCGCCCCCAGCCTTAAAGGTCAAGCCGGACTCGAATGGAACCGGTCGGGGGACGGCGATCAGACTCCCTAAGGTCCCCCAGAAATCTTTGAATAGAAGTTTCTGGCACCCGGACCCAGCGCGCGCCTCCAGGCCGTGCAGACGCCACTCACCAGCTATCGCCCTGGTTACTAGGAAAAGACCTACGCCACCGCGGTGACGGCGGCGGCGCGGGCGCCATGACGTCATGGGGCGGCGTGGCGGCGCAGGCGTAGCGCGTCACCGACGGCCTGGCAGGAGGCGGCGTTGGATCGGACGCGTTTGGAGGGCCGTCGGGCCGTGGAGTCGGGATCTGCTTCTGGGGCATGAGCCGAGGGGACGACGCCGAGGCCACGAGGTGAGTCCCGCCGCGATGCGCCGCTGCACCCCAGCGCGGGCCCCGCGAGGGGCTCGTAGAGCAGGCTGCCCTAGCAAGACGGCTTCTCAGGCCCCGCCCCGGATTGTCCCGCCGCTAGCCCGGAAATAACAATCCGAGAAATGACCCATCGCATCTGGGAATTCGCGGCCAGGAATCGGGAAGCCGGGGTTCCAGGCTTGACCCTGCCGTTACCGTTAGCTTTAGGAACAAGTGGCTTTGCTTCTCTGGACTTTAGTTTCCCCGTATGATTGATTATTCCTGCCTTCCAGGTTGTTGCAGGTCAGATGCGAGAATAGATAACAGCGTTTTGTGAACTCTCTTAATCTAGGGGGTTGTCGCCATTGCAGACCTAAAAGATTTTGATAGTCGCATGCCATCTTGATCTCATTACACTTTACCGTTCCTCAAAAGGCCCTGGGCTGAGCTGTCATAGATACTGTCTCATTTAAGCTTCTTAACGACCCATGAGTTAGGGATAATCGGGCCCATTCTAGAAAGGAAGAAGAAACGGAGGCTCCAAGTGGAGCCTCATTCATTCATTCAGTAAATATCGAGCACCAGCCATGAGCCAGACAGTGTACTAAGTGCTGGGGATAGAACTATGATCAGGACAGGCAAGGCCCTGCCCTGTAGAAGCTTACATTCTAGTGAGGGAGACAGAATATGGAATAGGAAATAATATTGAATTAGCATTATCTGGAAAGGAAAGGTGGCTTTGATAGAGTCTAACAAGGAGCTCAACTCTTAGGGAAAGCTTTTCTGAGAAGACACTTACTAAATCATGCAATAACTGGGTACAAAAGCCAGGATTTGAATATAGATGTTTTGGCCCCATATCCTGTACTCTTGCCACCAAAACATGGTACCCTCCTGTGATATTAAGTAGTTGTTGGTATTGCTGTTTTCAGACATGAGAAAATCAGGAGGTCCTGTCATTGAAGCCTCATCTCAGTGTTATGTCCTTTAGAGAGGCCTTCCCTCTCCACTAATTCTGTAGTCCGACCCCGTCTCCCTGTCAAATCACCTTGCTTAATTGTGTTTGCAGCTGTCAGTAGTTACTTACATATTGCTTATTTATTTTCCTTTTGTTTTTTCCCCCCCGCCCCTCTTCCAAATACAAGCATCCCTAGCAGAGACCTTGTTTGTTCACTGCTCCGTCCCCAGTATCTAGACAATGCCTAGAAATAGAAGCTCAATTTTTGTTTTGTTTTGTTTAATGAATGAGTGATCTGTAGGAAAATAGGAGGAAAGGAAAGCAAGGAGAAGACAAAATGTTTCTCCTCCTCTGTTTCCACTCCTGAGATTCTGTTTCTGTGTGTTTCACCTTTCTCTCAGGAGGCAAGAGCAAGATCTATAGCTTATTCATTTCTCTATTTTCAGCACATAGCCCTGGGTTTAGCAGTTAGCAGTTGCTTATCATGCATTGCTGAACAGATTGAACATGTGAGTGAGAAAGGAAGAAGAATACCCTCACATGTGGGGCTAGATAAACATGTTCAACAAACACGTAAGGCCCACCGTGTGCCAGACTTCATAGGCTCTACTGAGATGAATAAGAGGTAACGGCAGTGTTCAGTATATGTCATCTGTTGTTTTTGAGACATTTCCTGCAGCACTGACCTCTGAGGCACATCTGCTTACATGATACACATGGTTCCTATGTGTATTTTAGTTCTGAAGTCTGACACAGCCTGCCATCTTCCCAGCTCTTTTTTCTTTCTCTACCACATTATACATTTGTTAAAGCTTTATTTTACATCTGTCATCTCATTTTTGGCCCTCTCAGCAACCTTAAGTTACAAGCAGGGCAAGGTTTGATATGTAGAGATGAGGAAACAAGCTTAGAGAGAAGTGACTTCCAGTGGAAATGCCAAACTTTGAAACCAGGTCTTCTTGACACCCAGGTTTTTTCTCTTGCCCCTATTGTCTCCATCATAACCCTCATCCTCCCTTCCAGGATGGAAGACTAGTAATAATTTAAACTAACTTTAATTGAAAGCTTCTTAGGTGTGATGCATTGTTCTTAACGCTTTGGGTGTGTTAACTCAGTAAATCCACACAACTTTTATGAGGTATTACTCCATTTCAGAGATGAGGAAACTGAGGTACAGGATGGCAGAGTAACTTGAACAAGGTTACACAGCAAATAAACGGTGCAACTGGAATGACTAAGGAGGAATTAGTCTCTTCTTCTGAGTCTCTCCCAAAATATTAAACATGATACTAGTGAACATTTATTGATTGCTTACTGCTGTTAGATGCAGTGTTTAATGATTTTTCATGCACTATCTCTAATCTTCGCAACAGCCCTATAAGATAAGAACTGTTCTCTCCATTCATAATATGAGGAGACGGAGGCTAGAGTGTTCAGATTATTCTCCATCAAGTCACACAACCAGCTTTCAAACCAAGTTCTAACTCCAAAATCTACGGTCTTCAATTTCCTAGATTGCCTCTTTCATGAGGAAGACATGTATGCTGCTCTTTCCCACCCATCTCCTTCAGTGCCATTAAGACTCTTCTTTCTGGTGATTTCCAAGACTTGTTTTGGGTGACAGTTTTTAAACTGGAGTCATGTAGTAATAGAGCCTTTGGCCTCCTGCCCAGTCTGCCTCTGGCTTCAGAAGAGGAAAACTAGTTTCTGCACACAGAACCACGCCCCTTTCACCTTAAATGGAAGCTTTTGCACTCTGGCTGCCAGAGGAGCTGTCCCAAGGGAACTGGTGCTGGGGCCCTGGTTGTGGAATGACTGAGGCCTTTGAAGAACTGGCCAGAGCTTGCCCTCCTTGAATAAATGTTTGTTAATTGAATTTGAAGCCTCATGTTCACACAGTGTTGCTCCTCTCCTGCCTGAATGTTCACATTTCCTTTAGTTTTTCATAGAGATTGATGGAAGCAGAAACCAAAACTCTTCCCCTGGAGAACGCATCCATCCTTTCAGAGGGTTCCCTGCAGGAAGGGCACCGGTTATGGATTGGCAACCTGGACCCCAAGATCACAGAGTAAGTCTAAGTCCTCTTAAGTCATTACCTACAACACTGGGATGTTTGCACTGATAACGTTCAGAAGAATTTTCAAGAGATGCAGGATATATTTTGGCCCTTTTGTTTATGTTTTAATTATCTTTGAAGGGTATGTGCTTTTGTTACTAACCTGTTATGTTGACATTTTTCTCACGTTTGAACTCTTCTGCAAGAACATAGGCTTGGGTATTGTTTAAAACATATTCCTCTTTTTTCCTATTTGCCAAAGATATTTTCCTGTTTTCACCAATTTGAATCCTTGTACCCAGTGACACAGACATTATTTTCTAGAATCAGCCCACAACATACTTTCGTTCCTCAAAACGAAGGAACAAGCAGGAGAAGTCTCAGTACCTTCACAAACAGGCAGACGGTACCACTTGATTGTAATGCATGTGAAGCAGCCATGGAACCATAGAAGGTCAGAGCTGGAAGGCATCTTAGAGATCACATGAGTCCCTTCGGTTTTCATTCAGTCATGAAATGACGTGAGTGCCTGTTGTGTGCCGAGTGCCCATTTGTGCCTAGTGCCATGCTAAGCAGTGCTCTGACTTTTTAAATCTGAGGAACCTTGTCTTAAAGTAACCAGAACCTGTTTATAAAATAAAAGCTCAGAGCTGCTCTGATTACTGGGGAGGGGAGGGCGGGGAGAGGTCCGCCCAAAGCCTTTTGGCAACTGCCACCCTTTCTTTGGTGGTAAGTTATAGGACTCCGTGGAGCATACTTTTCAAGTGAAAAGCTCTGATATGATCCAGCTCCCTTATCCTACAGTAAAGGAAACTGGGGCCTAAGACATGGAAGTATCTTGCTCAGGGTAACAAAACTAATTAAATTGTCCTGACTCCCCACTCTTTGTACTGTGGCCATTATAGTGGAAAGCAGTTTCTTAGCAGAGAGAATTAAGAGGTTTTTTCTTCTCCCAGTTGCTCAGTAGGTACAGGGCTATGGTTGGTGGCAGGATGGTTAAGGAGTGAGTAGATCGGGCTCTATGGGATCAGCGCTTAAAGCAAGCATAGAGTATGCCATCAGTCCTAAAAGTTACTCCCTTTGGAATAGTGTTAAAGGCAGGGTGAGAGGAGACAAGAGAATCCACTTATTTGAATCAAGGATGAGAAGAGGTGTATATAGGATTGGGATTGGGAGAAAGAAGGGGATGTGAACTAATGGATCAGGATCATAACAGAAAGTTTAGTTCTTTAATCCTACTCAAGTTGAGATCAGCTAAATATAGATAACTTTGGTCCCTCTAGAAATTATGATGCCATTTAAGATATGCTGTCCCCCATGTTATGTTGCCTTGGTCACTGGGGCCCTGGAATGAACTGTGCATTTATTTTGGTTCTCTTTATGGCTTGTGGCTTTGAGGATGAATGTGTGAATCAGCCAAACCTCTCAATCATGTCTGTTGATCAGAGAAGCTGTTTCCATCATCTAAAACCCAAGCTATGAGGGGATGTTCCCAAGAGTGGTTTCCATTCCCACCTCTGCTTGTGTGCATGGAAATCTGGAACATGGAAACACTGTTCATTGTTTTGGCTGCAATTCACTGTAATGAGACTTGTTCTAATTGTGTCCTGCTGCTTGATAGGAAGATTCAAATAGGCATCTGCCCCCTCAGTTTATGTCATAAGTTGGAGTATATGAATGTTTTCTTCAGTTAGAGCATTAACAGGAACATTGAAAGAAAACTTTCCTACTCGTATCTCTGCCCTTTTTATATCAGGCCGAAGGTGGACCTCACGTACTGAACTGCAGATCAGGGCTTTGCAGGGTCTGCCTGTGGCTTCCCTACCAGTGGGTCACCTGCGATTTTGTTTACTCTTTTTCTTCTCTGGATTCCTTATGTTAAAACATGTTCTCTCCCAAACAAACTGATTTATTAAATAGTAATAAATTTCTTTTTAAAGATACAGCCCCCCAATCATAGCTATGGTTAGCATGGTATGCTTAGTATTATCTCATTTAATTTACTTAATTACAGTAAAGAAACCTAACGTGTTGGGGCGCCTGGGTGGCTCAGTCGTTAAGCGTCTGCCTTCGGCTCAGGTCATGATCCCAGGGTCCTGGGATCGAGCCCCACATCGGGCTCTCCGCTCCGCGGGAGGCCTGCTTCTCCCTCTCCCACTCCCCCTGCTTGTGTTCCCTCTCTCGCTGTGTCTCTCTCTGTCAAATAAATAAATAAAATCTTTAAAAAAAAAAAAAAAAAAAAGAAACCTAACGTGTTAGTAAGGTAGGTCTTATGGAAATATGTGATTTCCTTCCAAGTTTTTGAATTACATGAATTTCTGGATCCTGTTCCTCTCAAGGTGGGTAATGATGAGCCTAGATGAATTATTAAAATAGTCATTTCCAGACATGGTAGGATTGGGTGTTGTAACTTTCGTGAATATGGGGCACCTGGCTTGTAGTCCAATCTCAAAGTATTTGAATCCAGATCTTTAACTCTAATAACTCTTGAGAGAAGTTTGCAGATCATACTCCAGTTTTCATAATTAAACTGACACCCCACCCATAAATTGCTGCTAGTTCCTGCTATTTCCCCCTTCAACACACTCTTCTTATCTCTTTCCTGTGCATATCCCTGCTCTTTACCATCCCTCTTCCTGATCTCTTTTATAAATGGATTTGAATGCTCTTATACAAATGGTCTCTCACCTCTTGTTAGAAGACAATACATAGTGTATATTTATTGTCATGAATGGTTATAGGGGTATATAAAACAGTGGCAGTTAAAAAAAAAAAAAAAGATTTTTCCACTCAATTTTTCAAAGTTTATTTTGTAATTAATTCGAGTCCTCCTATGTGTATGTGCTTCTTAGTTATTAATCTGAGTCCTGCTCAAGTTACCTGGGACGTCCCATTAATCTCTTCCCAGTAGAACATGCATTGTTAACCGACTATCTAGCACTCCGATATTCCGCTTCATGTTGATTTGTGTTCAGTATTTTGTGGTTGCAATATTCACAATTTCATGGCTATGCTAGCTGCCAAAAATACCTGTACAACTAAATAGGTCTTAGAGGTTTAGATTTAAGGGAATGATGACGTATTATTAATTGTGGACGTAGCAGATCCCAAATCCATGTTCTTTCTACACTATTCTGATTCTTCCCAACTATATTTCGCTTCCTATTTCTTACCTGTAAGGTAAGAATGTTCAACTAATGATCTGAACATTTCTTCTAGCTCTAGTATTATATTACTTCCTCTTACTTAAGCTCATAACAACCTTGTGAGGCAAGTAGAACAGATAATATTTTCCCTGTTTTTATTTATTTATTTATTTTTAGGTAGGCTCCATACCCAGCGTGGAGCTCAGTGCGAGACTTGAACTCACAACCCTGAGATTGAGACCTGAACTCAGAATAAGAGTTAGACACTTAAGCAACTGAGCCAACAAGGTGCCCCTCTTCCTGTTTTATGGGACAGAAAGAGTTAAGTGGGTTGACTTAGTATACTGAAAAGTAGTTAATGATGGGACTAATCTCCTATCACCTAATTTTGTGCTCTTTGCACGGATATTCTAGTAGTCCACGTAACAGAACAATCATAAACTAAAGTATCCTATTCTAAATTTTAAAATGTAAGGACTTCTGTTCAATTGTTGTGGGACCCAATCTAACCATAGGGTAAAAACAGTACCTCCGAATACCATTGCTAGTGCCTGCAGCAGAGAAACCAAAAAGTTAATGTCCTTAGACATTATCTATTTTCCACACTGTGGTTTCCTCTGAAAGGATTAATACCGGCTTTCTTTTTCAAACATTAAATGTGCTACGTAGAAAGCCAAATTAATAGCCACTGCACAGTTCATAAGGAGAAGTAAAGAGCAAAGCCAGCAGAAATTCTAAAAGAAGGAGCATTCTTTTTTTTTATGTTATGTTAATCACCATATGTTACATCATTATTTTTGATGTAGTGTTCCATGATTCATTGTTTGCATATAACACCCAGTGCTCCATGCAGAACGTTCCCTCTTTAATACCCATCACCAGGCTAACCCATCCCCCCACTCCCCTCCCCTCCAGAACCCTCAGTTTGTTTCTCAAAGTCCATAGTCTCTCATGGTTCATCTCCCCCTCCGATTTCCCCCCCTTCATTCTTCCCCTCTTGTTACCTTCTTTTTTTTTTAACATATAATGTATTATTGGTTTCAGAGGTACAGGTCTGTGATTCAACAGTCTTAAACAATTCACAGCGCTCACCTTAGCACATACCCTCCTCAATGTCTATCACCCAGCCACCCCATCCCTCCTACCCCCCACCACTCCAGCCACCCTCAGTTTGTTTCCTGAGATTAAGAATTCCTCATATCAGTGAGGTCATATGATAAATGTCTTTCTCTGATTGACTTATTTCGCTCAGCATAATACCCTCCAGTAAGAAGGAGCATTCTAGAGGGTGTAAGTAGAAATAAGAAAGAGTGGGTGAGCAGAGTATCAGGAGGACCTTTTTGACTAAAGGAGAGGTTGAATACTAAGTGACAGTGAAAACAGTAGTTGGATAGATAGAATACTATCAGATAAATACAGGGTGTTTAAAATTTACTCAGACAAGAAATTTGAATTTCTTGTAGAAGAGACTTACTGTGGGTATTTAGCAGGATACTGACAACATGAAAGTGATGTTTTAATGGGGAGATGAGACATCAGTATGTAGAGTGGGTTGGAGGAGCAAAGACTAACGATGAAGATTAACTAGAAGAGACTGCCAGACACTAGGCTTGTCTATCACCTAGGTAGAGAGTGAACTTGGAAGCCAGTAGGTGAGTCTAAAAGATGAAGAACATGATTACAGATCAGAGAGTTGAAGATGACCCTGATGTTCCTTGCCTGAGAAATGGAGACTCATGTCAACACTGACTGGTGGAATAGCTGGAAACGGCATCTGTGGAGGGGGGTGATCAGTGTGGGTTATACTAAGTAAAGTTAAAAGCAGTGGAGAGCCATCCAGGGGGAAATGTCCTTCTGAGGCCGACTTTCAGAGATGAACTAGAACAAAAGAGGAGAGCGTGTGCATGGATGTGTGAGAACAATGTGTTTACCCCTAAAGAAACCCTGGTTTTCTCAGCCCGTTCCTTATTTTTCCATCATGATTCATGCTGCTTTCTTTTAATGCCTTCCTTTGCATGAATCAGCCTTTACTGTTTGCTACTTAAATTTGAAACACAGTAATACTATTTAATAACCACAGAAAGGAGAATATAAAGACCTAGCAAATAATAATTTCTACATTTATAACAAATTTTTCTCTAAAACAAATTATGCATTTAAAACAGTCTTAAATGTCATTTCATTGACTTCCCAATGCCTACGCATCAAATTGAAATTCCCTCACTAATGACACCAGCGTCCTTCATAGTCTGTCTGCTACCTGCCTTTCAGCCTCATCGCTTAACTGCCCTACCCGCACTCTCTTCCAATGGAGCAGGCTCTTTTTCACCTTTATGTCTTTGTACCTGATATTCACTAACCACCACATCCCCTGCCTCTTCATCTGTGTGCTCATGTATATACCTCTATGTGCATATCATAGTGTTTTGCGATTTTTTGATTGCACATATCTCTCCTCTAACCAGAATGTGAGGTCCTTGAAGGCTGGGACCTCGTTGTATTCATCTGGATAGTTCAAGTGCCTAAAACAGTTTTTGACAAGTAATAGGTGTCTATTTTAACATTTGTGTAGATTAATTACTTCTGCACCATTAGGCAGGAAGGCCATTTTCAAGACCCAATACAGAAAGCACTAAGTTGCAGAAATATGTTGGGGCTGGTGTACTAGCTCCTGAAGCCGCAGGGCCCACATTTCATTAAGTGAAGCAAGGCTCTGATGAGTAGTGAGCCCTCCCATACTTCAGCAACAGATGAAAGTGCTTGCAGATGTGAAAGCAAGATTCTTCAGGCTTTTTTCACTATCAGAGCTCACAGTCCCCATCTCCAGGAAGCAAAATAGTAAACATTTCGTTCCTTTTGTTTCGGTGTTCCGATAATTTCAAGAAATTATCAAACAAGGAAAGAAATCCTGGAGAAGTTGAAAGACACAGACCCAAGCAGATGTTCCTGGAATCTTAAGGTCGCACTTCTCGGGCAGAATGTATTTGTTAGCTTTTCAAAGAATAATCTGTCGGCATTTTTTTTTCTGAGTAAATTAAAATTCATTTCCTAGGAAATGCCGATCGCCTTACCTTCCTGCTATTAAGCGGAATGGAGCTGATGAAAAGATGACCAGCCCACAGTAGCCCTTAGATTGTTTTTCGGAAAAATGGGTTTGACCCACCATTCATGGCAACTAACACATGGGCATAGTAAGTGGAAGATGCAGCTGTGAGTTAAAGACCTGGGGGAGGGGCACCTGGCCAGCTCAGCCAGTGGAGCATGCAACTCTAGATCTCAGGGTCATGAGTTCGAGCCCTAAATTGGGCATAGAGATTACTTTAATTAATTAGGGCATAGAGATAAATTAATTAGAGACCCAGGGGAGACTCTTCCAGCCCTTCTGTCTGTGCATTCGAAAGGCTCACCCTATTGTACGCCTACTCAAAAATCAAGTAAAACCAGAAATTTGCACATGAGGTATCTCCCTTTCCCCTGAAGAATCACCTCCTCCATCCTCACTAGCAGCTGAGGTCTCCTGGTGGGAGTTGAGAATTTAAAATCTAGGGGGTTACAGTTTTCCCTCTCAAAACCGGTCTAGAGACCAGATTAATGTCCACAATATGCCTTGGGATCCTTGTAGTCTGCCCCAGTGCAAGACCTGTATTATGTCTTCCTTGCTCCACTGTCAGGCACCTGATCCAGGATAATGGGCTTGCTTGTTGATGTGCATTAGTATCCAATTTAATATATATAGCTTATGGTCCATTTCATATCTCTCTGCCTCCCAAAGGAGATTCTTACTCAAGAACAAAATTTTGATGAGTTTCTCCTAGAAAACAATGTGAATATAAATGTGGCTATAAGGACAGCCTTACGGACTCCCTGTGGGGTAGAATTCCCAGTAATAACAGATTTAGCATGTGGGCTGATACCTTTTTAGTATCACAGGGACAGCATTGTTTAGAGAAAGCCTTGACTCCATTTGAATAGTGTGGAGGATGCCAGGAGGAAGGCCAAAGGAAAAGGAAACGGGAGAGCTGTTGGTTTGTCTCACCCTTACATCAGATGACAGGAAGTCGGAATTGAGATTGGCCACAGCAACCTGTTAAGGCCACATCTGTTTGAATAACTTAAAAGCTCTATAGAAACCAAATAAGTTTTAGAGAAAGGAATCCAAGAAGAGGACGAGGGGCGGAATGGCAAACACGAGCTTGGGGTGAACTTCCTGCCAGGAAAAAATTTCTTCCTGGGCCATCCATATTCTTAAATCGACCAGGCTCCAAAGTGTAAACTGTGTTAAAGCAACTGAGGTGGATTAGCTTCCCACAACTGGGTGATTTATAGGACTGGCCAGGTTCCCCTGCCCTCTGTGAGAACAGCCTCAGGCACGTTGTGGTTCCACATTGTCCCTAACTGTTCAGTCACATCAGGGATTGAAACTCACAGGCACTTATGGAAGGGCCACTAGCTGTGGTTTGGTTTTTGGCAGAGCTTCTCACAAGTGCAATTCGGACCTAATGATTAATTATGAAATCTATTACAGAAGTCCTCCAAGGTTGTTTTTCTGTTTGTGTGAATGTGTATGTGGTTGCTACTTTACTTATTTTTGAGATAGGGTAGGTTTGGCGTTTGGAGTGTGGGTATGCGTTCCTGATGGAGTTGTAGTTATTCACAAATACTAGTTCGTTGCCAAGAAATTAAAAATAAATAAATCGACACTATTTTTGAGCTTTTCTCCCAAAGAAAAACAAATGGTGCTTGTGGGCCAGACAGCTGTTTGTTAGGTGTGGTTTTTTGTTTGGTATTTTTGTGCTGGACAGACGTATAGCCATGACGATTCGAGTTCCCATTCCAGATAGAGGCAAACAAGTCTGTTTGCCAAATAAACTGACGCAGCAGTTTGGAAGAAGGCAGGGGGGCGAGGGGGCGAGATTCCCCCCCCCCCCAGGGTAAATTATCTCCTGCTTTTATCTCACACTTGAGGCCAAGTGGCTGTCCCAATCCCCAGAGTGTGCTCATGGGCCGTGCTTTCTCTGCAGATACCACCTCCTCAAGCTCCTGCAGAAGTTTGGCACGGTCAAGCAGTTTGACTTCCTCTTTCACAAGTCCGGTGCTTTGGAGGGGCAGCCTCGAGGCTACTGTTTTGTGAACTTCGAAACTAAACAGGTAATGAAACCTCTCCCCTTTCATGGTGCTTCTTATACTCCCCCGCTTCTTTCCGCATCTCTCTCAACTACTTAGAATAGTGGTGCCTTGTGGGCAGGAGCCGTGTCAGATTCCTCTCTGGGTGCCTTGCCCTGCGTCCTGAAGGAGACCCTCGCTAAACGAATGAGTGAACAGCTTTCAAAATCTACCCTCCGCAGGCTCCTGGTCTGAGGCGGCTGACCTACTTTTCTGACCAGATGCTTTGGGGTGCCCACATTAAGCACGTGGACATCCTCCTCCCTGTTACTGGTTTGTTTGTTCCTTCAGTGGCAGGCCAACAAAGCCTCCTTTTCTTTCAATAGTTTTGCCCCGTGGTGCAGAAGCCCTCCCTGTGTGTGGTGAGCCACCCACAAACTCTTTTATTTTGATTTCTTAAAAATGTACCCTTCTCAGTGTCTCAGAACAACTGCATACAGATTTGAATTTACAGGAAGGAGGAGAGCATTCAGCTTCAACCAGGATATATACATGTATCTTCTTTTTTTTTTTTTTTTTAAAGATTTTATTTATTTATTTGACAGAGAGAGACACAGAGCAAGAACACAAGCAGGGGGAATGGGAGAGGGAGAAGCAGGCT